CTAGCCCATGCCTTTATTTGAAGTCAGCCTGGTCTACAACGTGAGCTCCAGGACAGACAGCCAGGGCTACAACAGAGAAACCCTGTCTCAAAAAAAAAAAAAAAAAAAAATAGAAGATGAACAAAAGAAGGGTCTTATTACGTAGCCCAGGTTGACCTAGAATTTAAAATCCTCTTGTTTATTTGTTTTTTGTTTTTTTTGTTGTTGTTGTTGTTATTGTTGTTGTTGTTTGAGACAATGTACCTCTATGTAGCTATGGCTCTCTGAAACTTGATATGCAGACCAGGCTGGCCTCAAACTCACAAAAACCCATCTGCCTCTGCTTCCCAAGTGCTAAGCATAAAAGCATGTGCCACCACACCAAACTTTTTTTCTTTTCCTGCCTCTGCTTTGTGGGTACTGAAATCACAGATGGGGAGCACTAGGCCTCTTTTAAAGTATTCACTTTATGAGGATTCCAGTTAATGTGTAGAAGCAGTTAAATGCTTGTGATAATCATGAGAGGGAAAAGATACAAACATTGCTGTTGATAAGAACCAGATCTAGGGAATCTGACACCTTCATACCAATGCACATAAAATAAAGTTAAATAAATAATTTTTTTTTTTAAAAAAAAAGAACCAGATACAGCCACAGATCTTTGATCTCAGTACTTGGGAGGTAGAGGCAGGCAGATCTCTGTGAGTTTGAGGCCAGCCTGGTCTACAGAGTGAGTTCCAGGACAGCCAAGGATACACAAAGAAACCCTGTCTTGAAATAAAAAATAAAACATAGAAAGAAAACTTGAGCTGGGCAGTATGGCTCAGACCTTTATTTTATTTATTTAGTTTTGGATTTTTTTCGAGACAGGGTTTCTCCGTAGCTTTTGGTTCCTGTCCTGGAACTAGCTCTTGTAGACCAGGCTGCCCTTGAACTAACAGAGATCCGCCTGCCTCTGCCTCCCGAGTGCTGGGATTAAAGGCGTGTGCCACCACCGCCCGGCATAGCTCAGACCTTTAATTCCAGCACTTGGGAGGCAGAGGTAAGAGGATTTCTGTGAGTTCAAAGCCAGCTTGGTCTACACAGCTAGTTCTAAGACAGCCAAGTCCCCCCCCCCACACACACACAAATGAACAAACAAGCCAACAAAAAAAGAATCTTCCCTTCTGGGGCAGGGTCTAAAGAGACAAGATCTGACTCTGTAGCTCAGGCTGTCCTCACAGTGGTCCTCCTCCTCCTCCTCCCTCAGTTCCAGAGTGGAGAGATTTCAGGTGTGAGTCACCAAGTCCAGCTTCAGGCTGGTGGCATTCTGGGTTTAAGCTACTCTTCTTCTTCAGTCAGATTCCTAGTAGGTTGCCTTGCTCTTCACCTCACAGAGGTCAGAACTTCACACGTGCGACCCACAAACCCTATCACACCCTGATTAAAGCTGCACAATCAACTTTATTTGATGGTGGCTTCTGCTATTATACTGCCCAGTGACATACCCCTTTCAGTTTATGGTGTTTGCACAGCCAACGAATCTCAGATGGCAGTTTTCAGACTGTAGCTGCTTTTATTTTTTTAAGTGTGTTTTTAAAATTACATGTATTTATTATTTACTTACTGTGTGTATCCATGACCACATGTGAGGGCATGGGCGGGGGTGGGGGAGGAATGCACATGCCATGGCAACACGAGGAGGGCAGAGAACAACTTGTGGAAGTTGGTTCTTTTCATTCCACCACATGAGTCCTGCAGCCATCAGACTTGGTAGCAAGTGTGATAACCCACTGAGTTATCTTGCTGGCCTGTGTCTGATACTTTTTTTAATTCATTTTCTTTTTTTCTTTCTTCCTTTCTTCCTTCTTCCCTCCCTCCCTCTCTTTCTTCCTTCCTTCCTTTCTTGTTTTTTAGATTTATTTATTATGTATACAGTATTTTGTCTGCATGTATGCCTGCAAGCCAGAACAGGGCACCAGATCTCATTAGAGATGGTTGTCAGGCATCATGTAGTTGCCGGGAATTGAACTCAAGTCTTCTGGAAGAGCAGTCAGTGCTCTTAAACTCTGAGCCATCTTTTCAGTTCCTGTATCTGGTACTTTAAAATTTTATGTGTATGGGTGTATTGCCTTATACATGTCTGTGAACCACTTCTGTGCAGTGCCCACAGAGCCAGAAGAGGCATGGAATCCTCTTGGAACTGGAGCTATGAGGTTGGCCAGCCACCACACTGCCCTTCAACTCACAGAGAAATTTTGGGATTAAAGGCATGACCACACCCAACTCAAGTTTCTTTTCTTTCTTTCCCTCTTCTTCTTCTTCTTTATTTTTTTATTTTTTGTTTTGTTTTGTTTTGTTTGTTTTTTTGAGACAAGGTTTCTCTGTATAGCCTTGACTGTCCTGGAACTCGCTCTGTAGACTAGGCTGGCTTTCAACTCACAGAAATCCACCTGCCTCTACCTTCTGAGTGCTGGGATTAAAGGCATACACCAACACTGCCTGACTTCCAAGTCTTTTTTGTTTTTGTTTTTGTTTTTTTTCACTATGATTTTTTTTTTCAAGTCATAGACTCGGTGTGCAGCCTTAGTTGTCCTGGAACTCACTCTGTAGACCAGGCTGGCCTCAAATTCATAGAGATCCACCTGCCTCTGCCTCCTGCGTGCTGGAATCAAAAGCTTGTACTATTGATGCCAGGACCAGAGATTCTAAAGAAGATGTGGGGTAACCCCTATCAGCCCTAGGGGCACCTCATTCTTTAGATGGACTCTTCTGTGCTGATCCACGAGTCTGCATCTTCCACCCACACAACTTCTGAGGCAGAGGGATCAAGACCGTGACATCACCTTTCCATTCATTGGGGTATCTTGATCACCAGCTCTGCTCCCCAGATAACTCTTCCTGTATCCTTATCCCAGTGCCCTGGTTGATGTTGCTTTAGACTCCTGACACTCTCCTGATGGAGCACTTACTCCTGTTGAGACAATGCCTTCTGTTTCTCCCTCTAATATGCTTGCTCCCAGGGCTGTGAGGACTGACTGCCCCAGCCCCTAGAGCTAGAGCTAGCAGTGGCAGAGCCAAGCCCCACAGCTGTCATGTTGCAGAATTGTCACATTGGTCCAGGGCACTAATGACTTCTCTCATAAAACAAGGCACGAAAGTCAGGGAAGAAATTTCAGCAACATTAAAATCGAATTGCAGCATACCCCTGAATCCATTAATGGATAACCAAAACATGCTCTCTCCATTCACGGGATATCCTTCTCCCATAAAAAGGAGGGAAACTAGCTGGCTGTACAGGTGCATGCCTGTGATCTCAGCACTTGACAGGCTGAGGCAAAAGGATTGCTGCAAGGTCAAGGCTAGCCTGAGTTCACAGTGTGGGAACCTGTTTCAACCGCTCCATAACAAAAGAAGTTTGGATACACAGATGAACCTTGAGGACACAAAGGTCAGTGAAGTAAGCCGGCCAGGAGAATGCAAACACCATGTGATTCCACTTCTACGGTATTTAAACTCAGGGACACGAGTGGAGTGACTGGGGGAGGAGAGGGGTTTCTCTTTTTCTTTGTTTTTCAAGACAGGGTTTGTCTGTGTAACAGTCCTGGCTGTCTTGGAACTCACTCTGTAGACCAGGCTGGCCTCGAACTCACTGATATCCGCCTGCCTCTGCCTCCCATGTGCTGGAATGAAAGGTGTGTGCCACCACTGCCTGGCAGGAGTTGTTAGTTAATGGGCAGAGAGACTGTTGGAGAAGATCAAACCGCTCTGAAGATATGTGTTGGTTGCATGACAATGTATGTGTTTAATACTACTGGACACTTGAACGCGATCAAGATGTATGCTGTATTTTGCAATAACAACAGTGATAACAATGGTGGGTTACTGGCCTGGAGAGATGGCTCAGCCCTTAAAGGCTAGGTTCACAACTGAAACAGAAATAGAATTGTGGGTTATCAGGAAAATGTATTCCTCTGAAACTTAGGTTAAAAAAAAGTAAATACAGCCGGGCGGTGGTGGCGCACGCCTTTAATCCCAGCACTTGGGAGGCAGAGGTAGATGGATCTCTGTGAGTTCGAGACCAGCCTGGTCTACAAGAGCTAGTTCCAGGACAGGCTCCAAAACCACAGAGAAACCCTGTCTTGAAAAACCAAAAAAAAAAAAAAAACAAAAAAAACAAAAAAAAAACACGTAAATACCTTACAGGTTGTGTCTAACCTGGTACCTGGGGGCCTGCATACATACATGTGGAAGGTTATTCCTATGAATTTTGCTCAACAACTATATATATATATATATATATATATGTATAAATTTTTATGGGACATTTGTTGTTGGTAAGTCTACTGCCCAGTTCTCTAGTATGAACTTTGTTACAACCTCATGTTGCAATGTCAAAAGATTCATCACACCTACCAGGTTTACAGAACGACAAAACTATCTACAGGTCTGTTTTGTTTGGCCAAACAAAAATTTAAATTTTATGTGCACGCATGTTTTGCTAGCTTGTTATGTCTTTGCACTACGTACATGCCCATGGAGAGCAGAAGAGAACACACAATTTTCGGAATTCAAATTATGGATGACTGTGAGCTGGGACTCTAACCTGAGGCCTCTGGAACAGTAGTCAAGCTTTTAGCCACTGAGCCATCTCTCCAGCCCCTGGAACATCGTAACAGTGACTGCAACAGAGGTGAAGGAGGCAACACCCCAGGAAGAGACTATTCGGCTGTGGAGAAGGCTGTCTGGACAGGTATACGTGGTTTTCATTTTCCACGATGGGCCTCTGGGGTCCCTGTCTTTAAGACGCTGTCGGCCGCCATGAAGATCTCTGGTTCCGGAGGGACCTAGTCAGTACTCAGTCATGAACCAGCCAGACTGCCAGGCTAGGGCCAGGCCCAGGCCCAGCCTGCCCTGCCGTGACCCCGCCCCCTCCTCGGCCCCGCCCCCGCCGGCCCCGCCCCGGTGGACAGCAGCAGGAAGCGCACGGGGCTCCTCTGACGCCGCGATTGCAAAGGTGTGGAAGGGGTGCGGGGTGCATGCCCGGCGCACGGAGCTTGCTGCGCGGCAGCCGGTCGCCGCCAGGCCCCAGCCCGGGCCCGGCCCGGCCATGCAGGCCCGCACTCGTTCCTGCCGGAGCCTACGGAACGCCGCTCGGGGCTCCGCTGCTCTGGCCTGGGGGGCGGGGCCGGCGGCGCGGCGTCATGCATATGCATGAAGAGCGCGGCGGCGGCTCCATTGTGCCCTCCGAGCGGCGGCGGCGCGATGGCGCGGGCGGCGGCGGCCCGGGGGCGGCGGGCGGCGCCGAGGGCGGGCTGAGCGCATGGAGCTGCGCGGGCCGGGGGCCGCGGCAACGGGCCGGGCCGGGCCAGGCGGAGGTGAGCGGGCTGGATGGCGCGGGGCGGCGCGGGGCACCGCAGGCAAGTGCGGGCGGCGGGCGCGCAGGTGCGGCAGGTGCGGTGGCAGGTGCGGCCGGTCCCAGGCGCCGGACGAGGTTTCGCCTCGGCCCGGCTCTGCCGCCCACCTGCGGGTACCTGTCCCCTGTGCCGAGCCGTCGGCTCTCTTACCCATCCGCTAAGCCTTTGTTGGGAATGGCCCAGGGGTGCGAGTGGCCTTTGGGGGGCCTCCTGAGCGGAGGAGGCTGGTGGGCCCTCATCACAACCTGTCGTTCCAGCTCTGGAGCCGGGCAGGCTCACCTTCACAGTGCGCCCCTCGGTTCCCTCTTAGGTGCTCTCCATCTGGGTGATGTGGGGGGGGGGCGGTTGGAAGCCGTTAGTGGCCCCAGGAGAAGCTGCGCGGCTCCTAGACTGAGGACGCTGACCTGTCAGTCCCTGGCTAGGTTTTTGACGGGAACACCCTTTTCCAAACTGAAGCTCAGAAACGAAGGTTCCCTACTCTCCCCTAGATTTTTTTGTTCTCCTTGTACCCTGAACACCATTCCCAGGTGTCCAATGCCCCCCCCCCCCCCCCCGCAAGTATCCCGTTCCCTCAGGGTATCCTGTTCTCAGCACGCAGTCCCTTTCTGAATCCATCACCTGCCCCGCTCGACCCCCCCCCCCCCTTGCCTCCATCCTCGGGTTCTTTTTAGTAGTTAGAGACAGTCTTTGGTGATGTCTATAACTCGTTTGTGTTATTGCAGAAAATAACACAAATAGCACCGTCACAAATGTGACCTGATCTGAGACCACGGTGAATATGGGTAGGGTGAACACGTACTCGCCACCAAGTCCTGGCAAAGCCAGCACCAAGGGCATCCCTTGACACTTGAGAGTGGTAACGGCAGGGAAGCTTAACCTTACTCCCCAGGACTGACCTCAAGGGTCCTGATGTGCTCCCAGGGGAGTAGTTACAGGCTGGAGGGATAAAGAGGATAAACAGGTAGACTTCGGAGAGACAGGCCCAGCATGTTGAGGGAGCATCCTGGTTACCAAGATTGGTTTCTAAGGGCTGAGAACATAAAGGTGGCCATATCTCCTAGAATGGCTTCCTGATCCCTGTTCTAAATATTGGAAACTGAAGTCAGGTTTTGGTTGGACTATTTATCTATCGGCATATGCTCATTCTTGAAGTCCGCACACTGAGGAAGTATTGTTGCCTTACAAACAGAGCAGGCAGGACCTCCAAGCCTTCTGGGCACTTAACTATGCTTCTTTGATAACTAGGGACTGCTTCTGCCACACTTGAGACCTCCTCCCCCACCCACCCCATGTCATGTGATTTTATTGCATCGCCTTGAACTCCTCTAGTCTTAAATGATCTTCCTGCCCCAACCTCCTGAGTGGCTAGGACCACAGTTTACACACCTCACCCTTTCCTGGGACTTTCATTTCTCTGGAGTCTTTAGATCCCAGTTTCCTTTTTTGTTTATTTGTTTTGAGACAGGGTAGCCTGGCTGTCCTGGAACTCCTGTTAGACTGGGCTGACCTTGAACTCTGAGGTCCCACCCGCCCCTGCCTCCTGAGTACTGGGATGCACCACTGCAAGGCAGATCCCTCTTGGGATTTGAGTTGAGTTGAATTTCTTGAGTGTGAGCCTAACCCTGAAACTTTGGAGGCACTGAGTCACGATTTGTGGGCTGTTGAGAAGGTGCAGGAATGTTGCCTGAGTTTGGGCCCCATTACTAGGTCTTGTTCTTTTTTTTTTGTTGTTGTTTTGTTTTGTTTTTCGAGACAGGGTTTCTCTGTAGCTTTGGTGCCTGTCCTGGAACTAGCTCTTGTAGACCAGGCTGGTCTCGAACTCCCAGAGATCCGCCTGCCTCTGCCTCCCGAGTGCTGGGATTAAAGGTGTGCACCACCCTCCCGAATGCTGGGATTACAGGTGTGCACCACCACCGCCCGGCTCTAGGTCTTGTTCTTTTTTTTTTTTTTTTTTTTTTCTGAGACAGGGTTTCTCTGTGGTTTTGGAGCCTGTCCTGGAACTAGCTCTTGTAGACCAGGCTGGTCTCGAACTCCCAGAGATCCGCCTGCCTCTGCCTCCCAAGTGCTGGGATTAAAGGCGTGCGCCACCACCGCCTGGCTCTAGGTCTTGTTCTTAAGCTGCTGAGAAGGGACACTTGGGATGTGACTCTGGGACACCTGGAAAGCAAGTTCTCTGGAGCTCTGCCTGAAGGGAGACATGACTTGACCTCCAGAAGACTGCTCCTAAACTGACTTGAAGTCAGAGCAGCTTTGGGGGACCTGCTTCCAGCTGCAGGTGGCACTCTGAGAGTTCAGGCCTCTTTCCCAGTCCTGTCTTGGAGGTAGGAGGTGGGGTCTACATTCATAGTCTCCCTGTAGTCAGGAGCAGAGGGTCCACTGGATACCAGATCTGGAGTCCTAGGGTCCTCCTGCAAGACCTACAAGTTGAAGGTGTGAATTCAGGAGTTTAACAGGAAGTCCTTTGAGCAGAGACATGCTTAGGGGGAACTGGAAGTGTCTGTGGTCTCTGTCCACAGCAGAGAAGCATTGTGGGTGGAATTCCCCAGGCTCCTATGATGTAAAAGGCTCCTGTGGGTGCCTTCCCACCCCACACCTGTCCTTCTCTCTTCTCCCCCAATTCTGTGCACTTCCTAGATGAGATCTCTCAAACTGTGGTCAGTTGTGTTAAAGATACAAGGCTCAGGACCCAGAGCCTGCTCTAATGACCCTGGGTGGGGCCAGCAGCCTGTCACACCAGCTAACTGGGATGTTCTGATGGTGAGTGTTACTGGTTTAGGTGACTTGAAATGAGGCAAGGGCTCACTTGCCTGCTTCCCAGCCAGCCTGGTGCCCTCCCAGTGCTTGGGACAACAGAGTGGCTCTGGCCAACCTAACCAGGTTTGGATTTGAGGGGAGGTTTGGCTGTTTCTGGTGGTGTGGTTTTGTGGTAATGTTTTTGTAATTAAAGTTGTTTTTTTTGTTTTGTTTTTGCTTGTTTTTTGAGACAGGGTTTTTCAGTGTAACAGACTTAGCTGCCCTGGCTGGCCTCGAACTCATAAAGGTCTGCCTGCCTGTGCCTTCCAAGTGCTGAGATTAAAGATGTGTATACCACTTGGCCTTTTTTTTTTAATTTATTTATTTATTGAGGCAGGATCTCACTGTGTAACCTAGGCAAGCCTTGGATTTGTGATCATTTGCCTTGGTCTCCCAGTTGCTGTGATTTTATGTAGGCACCACCACACTAGGCTAATCTAGAACTCATTTTCTAGACTGACCTTGACCTTCTGGTCCTCTTGCTCCCACCTCCTCAGTGCTAGGGTTATAGGCCTGGGCCACCATACCCTTGTTTAGCTAAAGGTTTTGTTTAGATAGCGATAATTGTAGCTGTATCCAGTTGTAAGAAATATTGCAGAGAGTCTTTGTATCTCTACCCAGTTTCCCCCAAATGGTAACATTTTGCAAAACTGTAGTACAACATCAGTCTGGGACAGCTCATTGCTACAGTTGGGAGGAACCTTCCTGTTGTGTGTTTATATTCACACCCGGCTTCCTTCTACTGAAGTTACAGTCGTGGAAGATCATCCTCCCTGCCCTCCCTTTAACCCCTGGCCACTGTTAACCCGTTTACAATTTCCCTAATTTTGGCAGAAAACGGACAATATAGCACCAGTGATTTGCTTTTTGCACTCAGCACAGTTTCTAGGAGATTCATCTCGAATAGGTTGTAGTGTGTTAGCAGTGGTGTGTTGCTTCTGACATCTGGGTTGTGGGTGTCCTACACTGATGTGACTTTCCTTCATTGAAGGACACCTTGGCAGTTTCCAGTCTTTGGATATAACAAATAAATATTCACATACAAATTTTTCCACTTAAGTTGACATTTCTCTGAGTTGACATTGCCCTAGAGTTGCTCTGTTGTACTGTGATAGCTGTAAGCTTGGATTTACAGAAATGGCCAACTTTTCCAGAGTAGCTATGCTATTTATGGTCCTTGGGTAATGTCTGTGAGGTCTAGTTTCTCCTTGCCAGCATTTTGTGATGTCACATTTTGTCTCAGCTGTTCTGCATGTACAGTGATGCCTCCTCGTGCTTTAACCTGTGTTCCTGACAAGTTGCCGAGTGCTTGTTCTTGGGTTAATTAGCATCTGTGTTCTCCTTGGAGACGTTTATTCATGTGTTTTGCTGATTTTTCTATTTGGATTTTGTTTTGCTAATTAAAACTTTTTTATATATTCTAGATGCCCCCTCATTTGGAACAGGTGGCTTGCTTTTAGCAAATCTTCCACAGAAAAGTTTTTAATTTTGATAAAGCCAAGTTTATCTTAATGGATCATGCCTTTTGGTGTCAAATCTAAGAACTTTTTCCTAGCTTAGATCCTGTAGTTCCTTTTACCTTTCTCTAAATATCTTATAGTTTTCTATTTTACATTTAAACCCAGGACCTAGTTCATTTTGATATAGGTATGAATTGGTCGTCTTTGCAGTACAAGGATTCAGACCCAGACTCTGGTACATGTTCCTGTAGTTGCTCTGCCACCGACCTGCATGCGGAGTTGCCCGTTGTCTTGTTTACCGATGGAACTCCAGTTGTTCCTGCACACTTTTTCTAGATGTCCTTCCCCCCATGGGTTACTCTGGTGCCCTGGGAGTGCTTGTGTTCTTTTTTTTTTTTTTTGTTTTTTTTGTTTTTGTTTTTCGAGACAGGGTTTCTCTGTAGCTTTGGAGCCTATCCTGGAACTCCCTTTGTAGACCAGGCTGGCCTCGAACTCAGAGATCCGCCTGCCTCTGCTGGGATTAAAGGCGTGCGCCACCACCACCCAGCTAACTATGCTGCTTTCTATTAAAAAAATAGATCCCAATTCCTGACATCCACCTGGTTGTTTCAGGCCCCATATGTCAGGTCTTGGGAGGAGGACTTGTCGTTGACAAGTTCCTCTTCCCAGGATCAGGCAGTAGCTGCAGGGATGCCAACCTCTGCTGCCAAGCTGGTACATCCTGGCCTCTGCTGCCTAGGCAGGACTTGGTTTGGGAAAGTCCAGAATCAAATCTGGTTGCCCCTGGGGGTTAGGGGTCAGACTGCCATAAGTGGGGCTTTTATGCCCCTGTTGCTGGATGTGGGAAGGATCTCCGGAAGCGGGGCCAAGTCCACAATCCCTGTCCTTACTTTCTCTTGCCTGCTCTGGGGCTGTGTGTGTAGCTTGGCTCTGCAGAGCCTCCAGGTCTGTGGTGAGCTCTGAGTGAGATCCTGGTAAGCACATAGGAATGTCTGTCCCAAGGCTGAGTGGGTGCTGGGGTATCTCTTGTTCCCCTGGACAGGAGGCTTGTGAGTGCTGAGCTGCAAGAGGGAACTCAGCAGATTTCAGCAGGTTTCAGAAGGTACACATGTCAGACATACAGCCTTACTATGGCAGAGGGGTTCCAGACAGAAGCACCCAGCCTTACCTCAGGGTCCCCTGAGAAGTGCCTGGCATATGACTGCTGTGTCCCTCTAGTAAGACCAGGCAGAGGTAGGCATGCAAGTGGTTCAGGGTATGCGAGGACCTGAGGAAATGAGACTCTGGGAAGGACAACAGTCTGATCCTGGGGAATGTCTGAGCCTGTTTTAAGAAGGTGCTTGGTTGTGGCAGTGTGGGAGACATGACTTTGGAAGCCTCCTGGAGCTGTGGCCACTCCGACTCAGGAACTACATGGGAGCACAGACCTAGCACCAAAGCAGTAGACTTCCGGTGTTGGCCACAGGTCCCCTGTCCACCAGCCACTGCGGCGGTTTTCTGCAGATGAAGTCCGGTTGGTCCCGTCTTGTAGATGTGGTTTAACATGCTCTCACTATCGCTGAGAAACTTAGTTACATCAGGGGCCTTTGTGTCTGCGGATACCCCCACACACACACCTGTTGTACTGTGTGTGTCATTGCCCTGTTGGGAACTCACTAGTGTCACAGATGGGTCTGCGGGGGACAGGACTGCCTGCTTGGCCCGATACTCCACAGTCACCTACTCCCCTATGTCATCTGGGTCAGTTTGAGGATCCTATAGCCTGAAGCCCTTTTGCTGCCCTCTTGATAGGAAAAGCCTGCCAGCCAGGAGCTGGGCTGGTGCCTGTGTCCTGTCTCAGCCGTGTTGGTACAGTCTCCCCAAGGCCAAGCTGGTGGATGGATTGCCTTTCCACATCTGCTTCCTGACCTTGCCAGTCCCCGCCTCAAAGGACACTTTGGCTCTGCTCCCTCTCAGGTCTCTGGGCTGCCCAGGGTGGGTAAGACTTTGAGTAGGTGCTACCCTGTTTGGCCCTCAGCCCTCCACTCCAGGAACCTGCAGAGGGGTTCCTGACTTTATGTGGACAGAGTATGGGAAAGGATGTATAGAGTATTTGAGATCAGAGCCCTCTTTCAGGGTTGGTTCAGTGGCTTAAAATGGCAGGGCCCTCGCATGCAGACATATCTGCCCCTCTTTCGTTTGCGAGTAGGAATGTATTCATAACATGCTACATTGTCAAGGAGTTCTCAGGGCTACCACCTTAGAATAGAGGTTGAGTAGTTGTATATTTCTCCTACATTAAAGGAAAAAGGAAAAAAAGATGGGAGGGCCCTTGTTAGAGTTACTTCGCACCGTATTCTAGGCTGACATCGACCAGCCCTTCCTTTGCTCTGTCCATTGCTACTGCAAAGGACTCTTGCTCGTCTAAGCTCTTGTCCTATCCCTCCTGTCCAGCAGCCGGAGCAGCAACTCCCAGAGAAGTTTTGGCACATCGGGCCTGTAGGCTGCTCTGTCACCAATGAACCCCATGAACCCCATGAAACCTGCCCTGCCCCCTGCACCACACGGGTGAGTGTGGGCTCTGTGGCCTGCCTCTAGCAAGCCCTGGGCCTTCTGACCCCACCTTACAAGCTACTCTCTCTGTAGTGATGGTTCATTTGCATATGAGTCTGTGCCTTGGCAACAAAGTGCCACTCAGCCAGCCGGGTCACTGTCTGTGGTTACTACTGTGTGGGGAGTTGGCAACGCAACTCAAAGTCAGGTGAGTATGCACCTGGGCCCAGCTACTCTAGCCCTCAGGATCTAGAGCCTTGGTAGTTGGTGCCTCTGCCATCTTAGGGCTACGGGGACTGACTGGAGCTCAGGCTGGGGCTTCCTGAGGGTCTCAAATCGCTAGGTGCCTTTCTTCTGTGTTGTCATGGGATGCCTTCCCCTGGCTGGCTCCATAGACCACCCTAGTCAGAACTGTAGACAGCTACTCTTCCCATCCCAGGTCCTCCCCCACTTGTTAGGCTTCTCTTGGCATCTAACACTTCAGAGCTATGTCTTGAAGACAGTGGTTTGGCTGGTTCTCTTTGGTGACTCCCACTTCCTTGTAGGTTTTGGGGAACCCCATGGGCCCTTCAGGAAGCCCCCCTGGTGGCTCTATGATGCCTGGTGTGGCAGGTGGCAGCTCTGCCTTGACCTCCCCGCAGTGCCTGGGACAGCAGGCGTTTGCTGAAGGTGGTGCTAGCAAGGGCTACGTCCAGCAAGGCGTGTATGGCCGCGGGGGCTACCCTGGGGGATCCAGCTTCACCACTGGGTAAGCAGGGCCGCTCACCTGGCCAGTGGCTTGAAGCTGTCAGCCTGGCAGGTGCTGCCAAAGGGTTGGATATTGCCTGTTGCTTCCCCACTAACTCCAGTAGCCACAGTGGAAGGTTGAAAAAGAATGGAAGAATGGGCTCCGGAGTGCTGTGTGTCTCAGAGCAAGCTGTCGTAGAGAGTGAGACAATCCTATATCACCTGCAGGTATGCAGGTGGCCCTGGAGGCCTGGCCCTCCCCTCACATGCTGCGCGGCCCTCGACAGACTTCACACAAGCAGCAGCTGCAGCTGCTATGGCTGCTGCCGCAGCCACCGCCACAGCCACGGCCACAGCCACTGTGGCTGCCCTGCAGGAGAAACAGAGCCAGGAGCTAAGCCAATATGGAGCGGTGAGGCCCCTCAAGTTCCTTCTATGCGATAGCAAGTATGGGTGGGCTTGTAGGACTTGCCACAGTGGGTTGTGGGGACAAGTGTGGACTGTTGTGGGACTTCATGAAGCCAGTGGAAGAAGCGCGGGAAAGGAGAGAGGGCTGGGAACCGCTGAGAGCGGGTCTGGACCGTCCCTCTTCTTTCTCCTCTCAGATGGGAACTGGACAGTCTTTTAACAGCCAGTTTCTGCAGCATGGTGGTCCCCGAGGACCCAGTGTACCCCCTGGCATGAACCCTTCTGGCATGGGAGGAATGATGGGCCCCTCTGGCCTCTCTTCCATGGCCATGAACCCTGCCCGGGCAGCAGGCATGACACCCTTGTATGCAGGACAGCGACTGCCTCAACATGGGTACCCTGGGCCTCCTCAGGCCCAGCCATTGCCCCGACAGGGCGTCAAGAGAGCCTATTCAGAGGTGAGTGTCTTGATTGCTCAGTGTGGGGTCCTAGATGATGAGTCCCTACCAAGTAGTCCCAGAGTTATGATAAGGGTGGCTTCTGCTGTGAGAGAGAACTACTGTGCCCGGCAGGATCACGAAGATACCCCCCTCCCCATCTGCCAACACACACACACCAAACAGCTTCCCCCAATAACTCTTTCTTTCCTTGGGCATCGCTTCTTCTCAGGTGTACCCTGGGCAGCAGTATCTACAAGGAGGCCAGTATGCAGCCAGCACTGCCCAGTATGCTCCTGGTCCTGGGCAACCCCCTGGCCCTGCCTCCTCTTACCCCGGACACAGGCTACCCCTGCAGCAGGGCATGGCCCCTTCCCTGTCTGCACCTGGCTCCACAGGACTGCACTACAAGGTAGGACTGGCTCCCATGAGCCTGTGCTGGCTTGAGTGTCATGGGACTCAGTGGGGACCTTTCGGTAGACTGGCCAGGGAATTTAGTCAGTGTAAGAACAGCTCTCAGGGTGTCCAGTCTGATTCTGTGGTCCATACATCTATAGGTCTCTCTGTGGATATTTGGTGTAGGGAGCAGCAAGCAGACTTCCAAGCCATTGTGACAACCTCTGCATTCACTCCTTCCTTACCCATCTACCCCCACATCCTGACTCCTGTCTGGGCATAGGGAGGGTGAGCACACCTCACTGGGAGCCTGGGTAGGCAGAGTAGCATGATGAGGTGGAGAAGGGAAAGAAAGATGGAGCTCTTCCGACTTATGGGCCACTCCTGTTTCCTTAGTATTACTTTATGAAATCAGTGACGTCTCTTACAGATTATAGGGAGTGTAGACAATGCACAGATCAGCTCCTGTGTGTGGTTCAGACTCTAGGATCGGGCCTAGGGGGTCAGTGGGGGGCAGGCTGGAGCCCCAGGCACACTCAGTTTTCTTTTCCACAGCCCACAGAGCAGTTCAACGGGCAGGGCGCCAGCTTCAACGGGGGCAGCATCGGCTACAGCCAGCCTGGCTTGAGTGGGGTACGGGGCTTGGCAGGGCGGATGGGCTGGGAGGCACACGAGGCGGGCGTGTGGAAAGAGGGGTGCTCCGTGAGCAGACTGCCCTCCCACTCTGCCATTCTGCTTTGACTGTTTATGCTCAACCTCTACAGCCTTCCCGTTCCATCCCTGGTTACCCCAGCTCCCCACTGCCGGGGAATCCCACACCACCCATGACGCCCAGCAGCAATGTTCCCTACATGTCCCCAAGCCAGGAAGTCAAGTCTCCTTTCCTGCCTGACCTCAAGCCAGGCCTCAGCTCTTTGCACCCTTCACCCTCTGGTGAGTGTTTAAGGACAACAGCCAACATGATACTTGGGTGGCTGGGGTAATCAGGACTCAGAGAGTCCTACAGGGAAAGCCCAAGGCCCAGCTTCATACAAAGCAGAATGGTTATATATCGGGCCCCTGCAAAAGCTAACATCCTGCCGGGCAATGGTGGCACACACCTTTAATCCCAGAGGCAGGCAGATCTCTGTGAGTTCGAGGCCAGCCTGGTCTGCAGAACTACACAGGTCAGGGCTACACAGAGAAACCCTGTCTCGAAGAACAAACAAACAAACAAATAAATAAATAAATAGCTAGCTCCTAAAACTTTGCATTGAACCATAGGGCGATGGCAGGTGGCCCAGACTGAATATGCTTTCTAGGTTGGGCGCATGTCCTGTGTCTGTTCAGAATGTGATCCAGACTGCTAGATGGCTGAGGCAGGACAGAACATGCTCACTGGGGGCCCACTTTAAGTAGGGACACTAGGAGCCCAGTGTGGGGGCATCTCAGAGCCCTCTTGAGAGTTTCTGGCAGGGGTTAGGTTAGGATTTGGGGCTCTAGGTACAGAAGTATTCTTTGGGGTCTTGGAGAAGGGTACCAGACTCATGGCCAGCATACCTCTGCCTGCAGGAAGTGGTCCTTGTGATGAGTTGCGCCTGACCTTCCCAGTTCGAGATGGGGTGGTCCTGGAACCCTTCCGCCTGCAGCACAACCTGGCTGTGAGCAACCATGTCTTCCAGCTCCGAGACTCTGTCTACAAGACTCTGATGCTGAGGTGAGTCCCGCTACCATCCTGCCCCTGGGCCCCGGCTGTACCGTGCGGGCTCCTATCATCCTCTTCCCTCTAGGCCTGACCTGGAGCTGCAGTTCAAGTGCTACCACCATGAGGACCGACAGATGAACACCAACTGGCCAGCGTCTGTGCAGGTCAGCGTCAATGCCACACCCCTCAGCATCGAGCGTGGAGACAACAAGACTTCGCACAAGCCCCTATACCTGAAGCACGTGTGCCAGCCAGGCCGCAACACGATCCAGATCACTGTTACCGCCTGCTGCTGCGTGGGTAGCCTGCGGGGCTGTGGGTTGGGTCTGTCAGGGTTCAGGCTGGGGCCTTCAGAGACCACCCAGACCATCAGCTCTCCTGTGGGCTTGGGAGCTTGTGGGGGAGGGTCTTTGTCCTTGAAGAACAGATGTTGCTTCTCAAGTCTGCCCTTTCAGAAAAGGGAGCCAGGAAATCCACCCCATTTCCCAGTTAGATTGCATTGGACAGATTTAATGCTCATGTTAGTTATATCAAAAATCCAAGCACAGGTAGCTCATGGGAGATGTGCCTGCTGCCTGCCCTGGCCTGGGCCTCACCAGGTTCCAGTGGACAGGATCCTCAGTAACCTTGAGCTGCAGGCTACCAGGAGCCACCCCAATGGAGGGCCTGAAGATAGGGTGGCTCAGATACCATGTCATGTCAGGAGAGTGGGTGTGACAAGCAGGAGACTGTGCCAGGGACTTGAGGTGATTGTGTTTTGACAGAGGAGAAAACTAGACAGTGGTTGGAGCCAAGTGCCCTGCAGAGCATGAGATAGTGCAGTGTGGCTGAAGCTCAGAGAAGTAGGAAAGTCCCTACCTGTGTGGCAGCACTTAGGAGGGCCTCGCTGTCGGGAAAGTAGCTGGCCTGGCTTCTGTCCATGCTAGGCCCCATCCCTCCCTGCCTGACACCCCTTGAATTAACTTCTAAAAAGACATCCCCCTGAACCATCTGCCTCCCAGGCTCCCGCTCTACATGTAATGTCCCTCACTCTGTTGCAGTCTCACCTCTTTGTGCTGCAACTGGTGCACCGTCCGTCTGTCCGCTCTGTGCTGCAGGGCCTCCTCAAGAAGCGCCTCCTGCCAGCTGAGCACTGCATCACCAAGAGTGAGTGGTCCCTACTCCTCAGCCATCTGGGCTGTCCCAGGCTGAACCCTGCGGTGTGGCACAGAGACCATTTCCTCCTTCAGACTGGTGGCTCTGCCCAAGGAGCACTGGTTACCTCCAGGCAACTCCTTAGAGGCACTGACTGAGGAATGACTGGGTCTCTGGTTAGCACACCAGCTCACAGCCTCAGAGTGTTGGAGACTTTTACTCAAGTCCTTTCCCCTGTCAATGTCAGTAAAGCGGAACTTCAGTAGCGGCACCATCCCTGGCACCCCTGGGCCCAATGGAGAGGATGGGGTGGAGCAGACGGCTATCAAGGTGTCCCTGAAGTGCCCCATCACCTTCCGCAGGATCCAGCTCCCAGCCCGTGGTCACGACTGTCGCCACATACAGGTGCGTGGTCTGTAGCCCTCTGTTGGATTTGTCTTGAGTTTGTGGAGAAACACAGAAGACTGACTCGGTACTGAATGGCATCTAAACTAGAAACTGACCACCGGGCGGTGGTGGCGCATGCCTTTAATCCCAGCACTCGGGAGGCAGAGGCAGGCGGATCTCTGTGAGTTCGAGACCAGCCTGGTCTACAAGAGCTAGTTCCAGGACAGGCTCCAAAAACCACAGAGAAACCCTGTCTCAAAAAAACCAATAAATAAATAAATAAGTAAACAAACAAACAAACTAGAAACCGAGAAAGCTGCATTAGCATTAGAAAGAAAACCCGTGAGCTACAGGAGGGGTCTGCTTCTGGCTTTTACCCACCTAAAACATGCACAGTACTGTCCATAGCTGTAACTAGTAAGAGCTCCTGATAAAAACATGTTTATCAGCAACTTAGAGAAAGGTTTTGTGCCTGTATCCCAGTACACACCTGTAATCCCAGCACCCACAGGACTGAAGCAGTAGGAGCTTAAAGTGAAGCCAGTCTGGGTACATAGTAAGAATCTGTCTCAGATTTTTTCCCCCCTTGAGACATGGCCTCATGTGTCCCAGCCTGGCCTCAGACTCACTTTGTAACTGGGGATAAACCTGAATTCCTGATCTTCCTGCCTTAACCTACCAGGCTGCCAGTGTTGGGCTTACAGACAGACATCCCTGTACTCATGCACTGGAGAAAACAATATTTTGTGCTGACACTTGAGCCTCCTCCTCTTTGGCAGATGGAATCTGAGCTCAACTGTCAGACCAAAAAGGCAGACCTTACCATGGGAGCGTGACCCTCTTGCTCCTTTGAAATGTAATCAGTTTTTTCCTATAAAAGTATGTTTGTGACATGTAGCCCTGACTGTCCTGGAAAACTCTTTATGTAGACTAGGCTGGCCTGGAACACAGAGATTTGCCTACCTCTTCTTCCCAAGTTCTGGGATTAAAGATGTGTACCACCATACCATACAGTTTTCCCTATATTTTTGCTAGTTACTATATTCATGGGGTTCCATTTTAAAAGGTATAAGGATATGGGTGCAGCCTTCTTCCTGCCCACCTTTAGAGTTCCCGTCTGCAGAAATAACCAGTGTTAGCCAAGTAACTGCATGCTACATATGGTTGCATAGTGGTGTTCTGTCCTATAAACTTCCTTTTTTGGAGGTTGTGCTAGGGGTTGAACCTAGGGCTTTATGCATGCTAGGCAAGGACTCTGCCACTGAGCTACAGCCTTAGCCTTTTAACTACTGCCCTGAACCAAGAGATTCCCTGTGGATACAACTTCCTGATCCTGGGGCATAGCAGTGCTGGGGAGGGCTGCTTGGGGATATCCCAAATTAGGCCTATTAGGATGCAGCTGCAGTAGAAACCTGACACCTTAAATATAAACCCAGATAAGTCACAATTTCCAGAAGACATTCGGAACAGCCCCTTTCACTGACCCATGGTAAGGAATGGCCTGTCTCCCTGTCTCTCTGCAGTGCTTTGACCTGGAGTCATACTTGCAGCTCAACTGTGAGCGGGGGACCTGGAGGTGCCCTGTGTGCAAGTAAGTCAGTCTTGTGTCTGCCGCTTCCTTAAAGGGTGGAACTTGAATTAGTGTCAGAAGTGGTCCATAGCACAGACCAGAATAGCAGAACCCTACTAGGTGACCTTGCACAGTATCCCCTTACACTGGACTATCATAGTGGTCATCTAATACATGCCATGAACTCACAAGGGTCCCTTACAGAATCATCACACAGGTGACAGAGCTGGAGAAATGGTAGTGCTTATACCCAGCTGGGCTAGGCCTCCTGACCAGTCAGTCTCCTTTGCATTCTACAGTAAGACGGCCTTGCTGGAGGGTCTGGAGGTGGACCAGTACATGCTGGGTATCCTGATTTACATTCAGAAGTAAGTGGCTCTTCCTGCCTGCCACCCCTCGTCTGTGGCCACCAGAAGGTAGTCCTGGAGTAAGAGCAGTCTTCGGAGCCTCTTCCCACGGTGAAGGAGCTCCACTCCAGGCCAGGGCCACACACACACCTGCCGAGTGTCCTGAAGGTTCTGGGTAGCAGGGGGTTTGAGTACAAGGTCTGGTTGGAAACCTGACCTCTGGGGTGGTGAGTGACCAGTGCCCATCCGTCTCTGCTTAGCTCAGACTATGAGGAGATAACCATCGACCCCACGTGCAGCTGGAAGCCAGTACCTGTGAAGCCTGACCTGCACATCAAGGAGGAGCCAGACGGGCCAGTGCTGAAACGCTGCCGCACTGTGAGCCCCGCCCATGTGCTCATGCCCAGTGTGATGGAGATGATCGCAGCTCTGGGCCCGGGCGCTGCCCCCTTTGCCCCTTTGCAGCCCCCTTCGGCCCCTGCCCCCAGCGACTACCCCAGCCAGGGTGAGTACAGTACACCCAGACTTGAGCCTCAGGTGACCCTGGGAAGATGGCTTATCCTCTATAGCTCAGAATCCATGCTGAGGATGCCCATCCTTCGTATCCCGACTGATAGGGTACTCAGTTTTCCACCCTGTTCCTCTGATTTGGAGTGAGGCTTTCCATGGAAAACTTGCGTGGACTTTTTTGAAATGAACTGGTCCTGTTTGCGGTGTCCCCTGAAGACCCGCACTATATACATACTGCACTTTGTTGTGGCAGGTCTCATCCCTGATCATCTTCTTGCAGGTTCCAACTTCCTGGGGCCTGGAACCTTCCCAGAATCCTTCCCATCTGCAACACCCACCACCCCAAACCTTGCCGAGTTCACCCAGGGGCCACCTCCCATGTCCTACCAATCTGACATTCCCGGCAGCCTCCTGACTGCAGACAAGTCTGCTCCTTGCCTCCCAAGCCAGGTCAGTGCTGTGCCCAGAGACTCAGTAAGAGTCTCCCCAGAGGGTCCTTGAGCTATTTTAACAAGTTCTTTTTCTCCATCCTCAGATGGCACCAGCAGGCCACCTGGACCCAGCCCATAATCCTGGACCACCAGGATTGCACACCCCCAACCTCGGGCCCACCCCAGGCTCCCAGCTACACCATCCAAATCCTCCCCCTCCATCCCGACAGTCCCTGGGTCAACCAAATACAGGGCCCATCAGTGAATTGGCCTTCAATCCTGCCACGGGCATGATGGGACCTCCCAGCATGACTGGGGCAGGGGAGGCCCCAGAACCAGCTCTGGATGTGAGTAGCCCGTCCTGTGTTGGGGGTGGGAGCCATTGGGGGCTGTTTGCATCAGTCCCTGGGTCTACCCACCTTGCTTCATAGAAAGGAAGACAGTGAATCTTCAAGAGAGATTGTCAGATAATGTCACCCAAGAGCAGCTGTTCCACACAGGTTGGATACCTGGAATAGCTATAGGGTGCCAAGTACCCACGTGTGGTTAATGACTGACTTGCCCGTAGATTAGAGACTTTGGAACCTAGGTATGTGAGGCCTCCAAGAAAGCCCACAACACTGTCTTCACAGTCCAGCTTCACCTGGCCATTTGCTCGGTTCTGCATCTTGACAACACAGGCAGGATGTGAGCACAGGCATGAAAGACAGTGGGCTCTCTGTACCTAGGCCATAAGAGAAACTACTGAGGTTCCACGTAAGGAAGATGAGGAGCAGCCCGGAGCAGAAAGCCCCTGGGAACAACACTAGAGATCCCTTTTTGGGCCCGTGCATCTTTGGTGCACAGCTGGGCCTCCTCCAATTGTGCACCCTGGCTCCTGGCGTTGAGAAACGTGTCTTGAGCTATTCTTATCATGTAGCGGCCGTCCATGGGGAGATACAGGCAGCTCATACAGGCAGGTGGCTTTACTCAGGCGCCTAGTATTTGGCAGGGGAAGGGCAGTTTAGCATCCACACTGGGCCTAGGGCCAGGACAGCATGGCCACTGGATCTGAAGGGTCTGAGACCAACACTGCTAATGTGTTTGCTTTGTCCTCAGCTGCTCCCAGAACTGACCAATCCTGATGAACTGCTCTCCTACCTGGGTCCACCCGACCTCCCCACAAACAGCAGCGATGACCTGCTCTCGCTCTTTGAGAACAACTGATCGTGTGTTAGCCCCTGGCCTGGCAAGGACACACAGATATCACCACAGCCTTCCCTTCTCACCCAGCCCCACAGGATGCCTGGTGGTTCTCCCTGAATCTCCTCATGCACACACCCTGAGCTGGGGCCAGCCCCTGATGAACTGGAAGCAGCCCTGTGCTCCAAGGGGCCTCAGGACAGTGGTCCTCACACCCACCCTCCATCAAGCTCACTGCTACAGAATGGGTCTTGTCAGGTGCCCTGCAGGCCCCATCAACTGCGTGTGCACACAACCCTACACCCCAGACTCACGGCCTTGCACTTGTCCTTCCGCCCTGCCTGCTCCCACCTGGCCTGCATCTTGTCCAGCACTGACCCTCTGTTTCTGCTTCTCCTCAGAAGAGCTGGCTGGCAAGGTTGGCTCCGTACTCTTGGTCTGCAGCTCCAGTGGCTTGAGCCTGGCGGGCTCAGAATGATACAGAGCACCAGCCTGTGGGGGCCTGGTGCTCTCACCCAGCTGAATGTGGTCCGGGGATTCCCCCCTCCACCCTGAGCTTCAGGCAGAGGCTGGGGTGGGGGCAATAAAGCACAACAATGTACATAGTGTAGAAATGCTCACAGCTGGGAGAGGAAGGGCAGCTGTGTAAGCCAGCATGTTCCTCTGTGGACTGGCCTGGGCCTTCCATGTGCTGTCTGCCCCTTACTGAATGCAGACAGCTCAGGGGGAGGTCGGAGGTTCAGCCCCTTTAGGGGTGGGCTTTCAGACTCAGCTCTGTGTAAATTCTCCAGTGAGCTGCTCCCCCCGAGTTCCTCTTTTCTGTGAAAGTGAAGAATTAGTACAGCTGTGTTTTTTAAACCACCTCATCTCCACCCTGCTGCCCACACCCAGGTGGGGGAGGCCATTGCATCTGCTGGCAAAGCGCCTGGGCCCGCAAGCAGGGCGCTGGCCTGTTGTGTCTCTTGTCTGTGCGATCTATTAAAGGACTCCCTCGTGGGCCTGCCTGAGTCCTTCCTTTGTGCTGAGGGGCTGTGGTCTTCCTGTTCCCAAATGAAAGTCTAGATGTTTTCATCCACACTCAGGCTATCCCCGAGCTGTGGTAATTTTCCTTTGCCCTGGAATTTTCCATGTTGGCTTCAGTTGCAGAGCTATTTTGTAAAGTGTCTCAGGCTTGCCCTGGAGACACTTGCCACCATGTCACCTTCCCTGGGTGTGCCCTAGGGCGGGGAGCCAGCTATCTGTCAAGTGACTGCAGTACAGCCAGAGGCCTGAGCAGCCCTGGCCTGCCCACGCTCACTGCTCCTCATCTTTGGCCTGGTCCCTGAGGCCCTGCCCAGGCAGCCTTCCTGTGCAACCGGAAAGGTGAGACCCAGGGGAGGGGTGAGGGGAATCCTCGGCGGGCTGCCAGCACCTGCCCTGCAGTATGGAGGAGGCTGCCTGTCTGTGAGACCGCAGGGAAGGATTGCCTGCATTTGAGAACACACTGGTGGTCCTCTCCTTACCCTAAGGAGCCCATTTCCAGCTTTTCTGTCCTATTGCTAAGGTGGGAGAGGGGCATAGAACAGCAGGCCAGGGCCAAGGGAATGTAAGGCAGCACAGCAGGCCTGTCTGCAGCCTCTGCTGGGGAAGAGGAGGAAGAGCTGGCCCTCCTTGGATTGGATCGGAATGCTGACAACACGTTTACGCAGCCTGTTGGCAAGTCTGGTGTTCTGGTGCCACACACATGTAATCCCAGTACTCTATAGAAAAGGCAGGGTTGGGGCTGGAAAGATGGCTCAGTGGTTTTAAGAGTACTGACTGCTCTTCCAGAGGATCCAGGTTCAATTCCCAGCGCCCACATGGCAGTTCACAACTGTCTGAAGATCCAGTTGCAGGGGATCTGACACCTTCACACCAATGCACATAAAATAAAGTTAAATAATAAAACCATAAAAAATATTTTTAAAAGAAAAGGCAGGGTTGCTGCAAGTTCTGAACCAGCCTGATCTACATGGGAAGATGAGGGGGAACAAAGTCTACAGCTGGGGACATGATCACTCCAGGGTAGTAAGACTGAAGAGGTCTTTATTGTAGTGTAGATATGGGGGGAAGAGCCAAGAGCAGGGACAGAAAACAAGAAATTTAGAGTAGGGGGCAGGGCTGTAAGAGTCAGAATGCCGGTGTGGACTTGCAACACTGAGAGCCTGGAAACCAGCCTGTGCTTTGTTATGCTAATAAACGCCATAGCTAGTGATGGTCCCGAGTTTCTTGTAGACCTGACAACCATCCAGAAGTGCGACCTCAGAGAATGGATATGTGATTGAGGAAGAGCCGACAAGTGCCTGTGCACTGCTGTGATTGGGTGTCAGAACCAAACCAAAAGATTGGAAAAGCTCAAAGCTAATCTGAGCCTCCCGGGATTTATGCATGCATGCCTGTAAACAAAGCGAGGGCATGGACTTGCTCCTGTGGAGACCCAGTAAGGGCTGGGGGCTTCACGGCTTTCCACTGCACTGGCTTTGTCATTATAATCTTGTGTGTGTGCCAAGTATTACATAACCTTCAGAGAGTTGGCTAGACCTGACCTACGGAATACACATTCTCAGTGCAGCCTGTCTCAGACTGGACCCTGTCATCTCTTCACAGTGGAATGAATCACAGTGGACAACTAGCAGAAAGCTCAGGAAAATGTGGAAATACCACTTCCTGTTTTGAGTCAGGCTCCCCATGTAGCCCAGGCAAGCCTCATCTTCCTGCCTTGCCTGAGTGCTAGAGTTGTGTGCACACCCGGCTCTTACCTTAACTACTAATGGGTTAAAAAGGAGTTAGGAAGTACAGGTGAATGAAAACACTGAAACTCAACACAGCAAGAGCAGAATAAAGGGAGTGCAATAGCCTACTTTTGTATGTTTTGTCTTAAGACCAGGTCTCCTTACTATGTAGAATAACAGACTGGTCTTGAACTCCCAGAGATCCACCTGCCTCTGCCTCCTAAATGTTGGGATTAAAGGCGTGGGCCACCAAACCCAGCCAAAAGCCTACTTTCAAAAGGTGGAATTCTGGGGCTGGAGAGATGGCTCAGAGGTTAAGAGCACTGACTGCTCTTCCAGAGGTCCTGAGTTCAATTCCCAGCAACCACATGGTGGCTTACAGCCATCTATAATGTGACCTGGCGCCCCCTTCTGGCTTGCAGGCACACATGGAAGGAATGCTATACACATAATATACTAAATAAATAAATAAATATTTAAAAAAAAAAGGTGGAATTCTCAGTGCTGGAGAGATGGCTCAGAAGGTAAGAGCACTGGCTGTTCTTCCAGAGGTCCTGTGTTTGAGCCCCAGTACTCACATGGCAGCTCATGACCATTTGTAACATCAGTTCCAAGGGATCCATTCAATACTCTCTCTTGGCCTCCTTGGCACCAGGTATACGAGGTGTACAGACATATATATGTATACATAAAAGCAAAACATTCACACACATACACACAAATAAAAAGTAGAAGCAGAAGCAGATCTTTGTGAGTTTAAGGCCAGCCTAGTCCATACAGTGAGTTCCATAATAAATAGCCAGAGCTACACTGAGAAACCCTGTCTCAATAAGTGTTCTCAAGTCAGTACTAGCTTTATATTTAAAGGGACTAGAAGTAAGCGAAGTAAGCTAGATTCGGCCTCGAGAGAGCACAAGCAAGGAAGGGAATATTAGGGCAGAGAAGTGGAGGAAAGAGGAAATGGGTAAGGGAGCTGGAGAGATGACTAAAGTGAAGTGTGCCTGCAGCTCCCAGCCAGGTGGTGTGCATGCCCGTTTTTAATCCCAGCACTCTGGAGGCAGAGGCAAGCAGATCTCTGTGAGTTCGAGGCCAGCCTGGTCTACAAGAGCTAGTTCTAAAGCTACAGAGAAACGCTGTCTCAAAATAAAAAGGTCTCACCAACCACCTGCTAATTCCAGTTCCAGGGGATCCCATGTCAGCAGCTGCCTTTTGCAGGTACTGCATGCGCACACACCTTAAAACATCAAAGTTGGTTCTTTGCCAGCAAATTTGATAGGCCTTTAAAAGCTGACTAGGAAAACAAGTGAATTGGGAGAGCTAGGTGTGCAGCTTAGATGCCCCAGGCTCCAGCACCACAGGCTGCCAGGATAGAAGACAGAGTGGAAGAAGGGAGAGAGAAAAATGCTCAGACCCATCTTCTAGAAATGAAAAGACAAGGGGCTGGAGAGATGGCTCAGTGGTTAAGAGCACCGGCTGCTCTTCCAGAGGTCCTGAGTTCAATTCCCAGCAACCACATGGTGGCTCACAACCATCTGTAATGAGGCCTGGCACCCTCTGGCATGTGGACATACATGGAGGTAGAATGTTGTATACATAATAAATAAATAAATCTTTTAAAAAAAAGAAATGAAAAGACAATAAAAACTAAGGGTAATTATGTTAACAAATCAGATAATTTAGATAAAATGGACCAATTGTCAGGTAAAAATAGAGATGACCAAGACAGAACCTACACGAAAGTTATGGGATAGTCATTAAAAGTCTTCCTTTTTTTTTTTTTTTCTAGACAGGGTTTCTCTGTAGCTGGGATTAAAGGCGTGTGCCATCACCGCCAGGCTATAAATCTTCCCTTGAGGAAAAGCCCAGTGTCACATGTTGAATTATATCAGACATTAAAGAGGAGACACGAAGCCTCCTGAGACTGCAGATCCTCAATGTGCGTGGCAGGCAGAGGCCCGTCCCACTGCCACTGTTTCCTTCCCAATGGAACCCTCTCTGCCCCCAAATCCATTCTAGGTCTCCTTGGTTCACAGAAGCCAAGACATCAGCACCATCAGAGGTTCGTCATTTTCTGTCGTGCCTCCTGCCCCATTCACCTTTTGTCTCAAAGGTTATTGGTCACTTGCCCCATGGTTTTTAAATATCACAACACAGAAGTGATGTACAAAAGTATGATGGGGCCGGGCGGTGGTGGCGCACGCCTTTAATCCCAGCACTTGGGAGGCAGAGGCAGGCGGATCTCTGTGAGTTCGAGACCAGCCTGGTCTACAGAGCTAGTTCCAGGACAGGCTCCAAAGCCACAGAGAAACCCTGTCTCGAAAAACCAAAAAAAAAAAAAAAAAAAAAAAAGTATGATGGGTGCACTTTGATGTGCCCAGCCCAGAAAGATGCCCGGGACCCTTAAATGTGCCCATTTTTGAGCTTCATGTAGTGAATCTTAGGTCTGAACCTCTCTGTTAATTGACTTTTCGAACAAAGATTTTTTTTTTTTTGAAATGTGTATGAGTCTTTCACCTCTATACATTTTATGTACCGTGTGTGTTGTGCACCTGGTGCCCCTGCAGGTCAGAAGAGGGCATTGGATTTCCCTAAAACTCAAGTTATAGATGGTTATGGGCCACCATGTCAGTGTTGAGAACTGAACCCAGGTCCTCTAGAAAGATCAGTCAGTGCCCTTTGTGGAACCCTCACCCCTTATTCTCAAAGGGGCGAGAAGAAATTTTCTAGCAGAATGTTTTCCCAGGAAGATAGTGGTCTTTCCCTCTCCCACCCGGGGGATTCCAAGCACAAGGTCACCTAGCTCAGCCCAGCCAGCCACCTGGTACAGGCTGATAAAGATGGCCTAACTCAGAGACAGTGGTCTTGCTCTAAGAACAAGGAAAAAGCTGACTTAGCAGAATGGGAGGGAGCAAAAGTCCTTGTACCCGTGACAAAGCAGCTTCAAAGATTCTCTTTGTAGTTATGCCTTTAAAAGCTTACCCCACAGAGGAGATACAACTCCTCTCTACCTCGTTGTAATGGGGATGGAGATGAGTTCCAATCATGTTTGTATTATGCTGATTAAACCTTGCTTATTACAGTCTGGGCCTCTCGTGGGGTCGTAATCTGGGCACAACACCCTTAACCTCTGAGCCATCTCTCCACATTCTCTTGACCTTTTTTCGGTGTGGATGGAGCCTTTTCAAGACAGGGTTTCTCTGTGTTGCTCTGGCTGTCCTGCTCTTTGTAAAACCAGGTTGGCCTTGAAC